TCAATAGCCTTTGTGGCATCATTTTGAAAACTGGCAGAAAAAAAACGTTCAATATTATTATTATTATTATTTAGCTAGTTACACAAATCGAAAATTAGCTTTTTTAAGCAAAATGATGTCTCTAAAATTCCAAATGTAATACAGACCAAAACAAAAAACAGACCTTAAAATATGTCCTCAAACATAAAAACAGGGATCAAGAAAAGGAATCAATATAAGATAACCAAAAGCCAATAAGTGGTTGTGATGAAACTGTGATTTGTGGAGAAAGATCATGAGACAGAAAGTGAAAAGGTGAACTGGAAGGGAGACGCAGCGGCAGAAAGCAACAGAAGTGACAGACAGTTGTGTTTACGGCATGGTACAGGCGCAGGGTGTGACCAGCAGCAGGAGGAATGCTCAGGAGAGTCTTGCAGCAGCAGAGGTGCCCGGCCAGGGAATAGCCAGCTAACTGCCCTGCTAATTACTGTCGATTTCCTCTCCATACTGTATGCATGACAGGCTGGAGTCTGATCCTCCAGGAAGTCCTTCACCATGGTTGCCCTCACACCAGTTATTCTGCCATCACTTATTTACTGATAAGTTTGTGTACTTGGTGGTGCACTGGGTTTAAAAAGCAAGCCACTTATTGCTTGTGGAGCATTCAAAGATTGTATTATTGTAAGAAATACACCTATTTCTTCTGACATGAGCTTCATGGGGCTGACTGCACAGTGTGCTCAGTCCCTCCACGTTGTGAGAAAGCTGGGTTTGTGTGGCATCCCAAATTACAAGAAGTAATACCTGAAGCCCTGGGGGTTGTCAGAAAGCTTTTCAGTGAGCATTGACAATAAACAAAGTGACAGCAAAGAGGAGCAATGCTGCATTTCAGTACAGCAACAGCACGTTGGTGGGAAGGTAAGACATGGTGACAACAAACTTCAAATGGTTTGATTCCATCCATGTTTTCATTTTTAGAACTGACTGTGGTCCAACTTTCTCTTGAAAAGCAGACATCATATATAATACTACACAAAGAATAATTGAGTGAATGACCTGAGATGTGCTTCAAAAAGAAACATCGCTGGAATAAAAATCATTCCAGAGGCTGTATCACAGAAAAATATCCTCACAAGAAGAATAACATGACGGAGAGAACGGACATCATGAAGATCACACTGCGCCAAACATCTGAGGTGGGCGTCAAACCTGCTGTTTACCAAGGAAGACAACATCAATGCCCTGCCCACTGCACCAAGAACTGCCTCTCACTTTGGACAGCAGGTCTAACCGGGTTCAGAAAACCTGTGCTCTGCCTGAAACTGTAAACTTTTGAGTGACAGAATGCTGGGGGGTTTCTCAGCTGAGCGACATTCCTTTGCAAAACAGCCACTTGTCAGCTTTGACTTTTATTCTTCAAAATAAATCAAAGCTGTGCTTTTCCTTTATAAGAACGTCTATCAGTATGTCCAAGAGAATTTAAGTTAAGCTACTGCTCTTAGAAATGTCTACTTTGTGGAAAAAACAACAGATCCCAGCACCCAACATGTCAACATGGGAAGACACACACTTTAGATTGTGTTTGATATCTTTCTGCTTGTGGTGCAGAGCCACTTTGTGTCAGCTTTAAATTTCCTCATACATTATCCCTTGCTTCTTCCTAATTCCCAATTAACTGTGTTTAATTAAATAGACAGACTCCTATTTTACTTTCCTGAGCTAAGCCATAGCCACATAGCCTATCTGCTGACAGGAGGAGATAAGCGACAGGCTCCTGAGAGGACGGTATCTCTGCTGCCAAGTGATTAGGAATGTTCCCTTTTAATGTGATTTCTGTATGATAATAAAGGGAAAGCAATTTAACTTCCACAGTGCTAACTGACGAGTGAATGTGAAAGCAAATGTGACAAAAACAACCGGTAACAAAGCAGACATGGTGCTGCTCATAACATCACACCTATTTTAGAGATTTGCATTTTCACATAAAATGAATGAACTGCAGTTGTGAATGTATTTGATCTGTGGACTCAGACTTCAAGAGTTTTGATTCACAGAGCAAGATCATAACGTACCAAGAAACCAAAACAACATCCAACATATGACAGTTCAGAACATGTCTCAGTTTCAAGGTGGACACTTTGGTAGACACTTTCTGATTTGATAAACAGGAGGGTGTTTTTCCCTGACATGCCAAGCTGAATAAACATAACTGTACTGTTATATACTTCCAAAATAATTTTAACAACCTACAATAAATAGTTTGAAAAATAACCACAAGTGACAAGTTAAAGTTGCTAGTACTAGTTACTCGCGTATTACATGGGGGTTTTCCTTCTTTTCAACAGACGCCATTCAAACTTCAATCAAAACAATCGGAAAATAAGTCAAACTCGCTAGTCATTACTGTGTTTTTCAAGATGTATTATATGACAGTTCTGTAGCACCGCATAGCAATTGTTCCACAATAATTTAAAGGTGATATTGGGAGAAGAGTTGGGATAAAAAGAGTTATAATGGGGTTTTAAGTCGGGGGAACAAACACAACAAGTTTTGAGCGCAGTGCCACAGCAGAGGAATACTTGTCAAACACGAGACTGTAAGTTAGGTAGCTCAACAACTGCTAAATGCGTGGTTTTAAGGAATCTTAATGACAAATAGACACTTCTTGATGCCTTAATTGGGTTTATTTGTCATTTTGGTAACATTTGTGCAGTGGTGAAATAACGTTACACGTGTCATGTGTACGATAATGGGTGTCTTGTGGCTAGCTGTCCGTTAGGCGTATTAGTTTGAATTACCTTGTCGGTTGGATGTTTCCGTTACTGTCTCCGAATGATTCGTCGGTCTCCCCAGCCGACCCGTTGTCATCATCTTCAACGGTAACCTCTGCTACAATGACCGGGGGGCCAACGTTCTCCAAGCTTCTCCGCTCCATGGCTCTTGCACCATCTTCATCCCCCGAGGTCGAAGCTGAACCCCGGGTGGAGAACTGTGGCTCCCTGCCGGTTGCGGAGCCCGGAGCTTGAGAAGTCCCAAATCCGATGAGCGCGTTTAGCAATAGCAGGAGCACCAGGGAAATGCTCACGTTTCCAAAGTGAAGCCCCCTTTCCATTTGTAAGACTGGCACATTAGTGAAGTATGAGATTTACATGCCACTGGCCTTGTAAATCTTAACATAAAAAGTGCAAAAAACAACAACCGGTAAAACTACAAACAAAACTCCGTTCTTTCTTGCAAGACGCCCTTCTCAATCTGTTCTTTAGTAAACATAAACAGCCACTGGGACACCATGTTATTCCCTTTATACTTGACACAAGTCTTGCCTTAGTAACGCTAAGTCCCGCCTTGTTTCTACACTGGGATTGGACAGTGAACTCGCTACATTCGGTAAAAAAAACATGCCACCGTTTCTCATTGGGTTGTTGGCTATCAATCATGTATACTCGCATACTAAGCAGAACATGATTGTATCAGAGAACTGGCACTCAAGGAGGCGGGCTCAGAATGTTTCAGCCCCCCCAAACAGTCAATTTCATTGGCTAATCAAGTGTTTGTCAAAACGACGCAGGCGCACTAGCAACGAGAGCAAAAGGTGACGCAAAAAAATCCCCGATGGCGAATCCTGTGGCGGAAATGTGATTGGTGGGATGTGTCGTAGTTCGTCCAATGAGAGAGACAATAGTGATAAGCAACAGCGCTATTGGTCGACTTCACCCTCGTTGACGAAACGTAAGCGTTACATTCGACATTTCAGCTGTCATTCACAAGCAGTTGTCAAGACATCCGACATAAAAGAGCATCATGGAAAGCATCAACGTGGCTCACTGTAGAGGATGTACGTTTCCTGTTCCTGATCACGAGTTTTGCTTTCAATGTCAGATGAACAAACAGGCAGGGCTATGACTTAAAGCCTGTAAAAGCATATGAACGCGTTAAGGAGTGCATTTTCAAAATGTAACCTCATGTAAAGCTGCATTCCAGCCAAGAAGCCTGCAATATCCTGAGTTGTGATTTTATAAATAGGTATGACAGCTAGTTTAAGTTATTTTCAAAGTGTCATAAAGCATATGTACCCATCATTGCTTAATGCATGTATGATTATTTTTACACAAGTTTTATTTCTGGGTGATATAGACTTAAAATGTGAACCCAGTTTACACTTTGCAAAACGCATTTCTAGCGCCCCCAAGTGACCATAAGGAAGAACGGCACGATAAAGATGTCCTGTCAGTCTTGAGTTGCAGATATATTGAGTTTGCAATCAGTGTGCAAAGCTAAAACAAGTGGAGGTTTGACACCCAAATAAATGACGATTATTTTCAATTGTGTTGCCAAGTTGTTCCACCACAGAATGATAAATATTGCATTTTCAGAGAATCATCAGAAATAAAAACAAAGAGGCATACTGTTATCATTATGTTTCTGTATTGTTTGACAAAGAAAATAGTACATTCACAGCCATATCACCATCGCAGTCAATTGGTAAAGGAATAAGAGAAATGCTGGTGGAAACATATCCAAAACATGGTGTACAACTTGGAGCCAAACTGGGTCACAGATTATCTGTTCAGTTAATGTATCCTCTAAGTAATTCACATCCATTTCACTGATGAGTAGAATTACGCCAGAATAACATTTGATGCCCCATACCTAAGCATAGTTCTATAAAGACACGTAGCTTTGCCTGATTACATCATGTTAAATCTCTCAGAGCAGTATATACATAAACATACAAAAATAAAGTGTAAGGCAAAAGCAGAGTGAAAATCTGCATTTCAAAATAAAATACATCATATGGAAATGAACATGACAAATTGGCACAATTTTTAAACAAATGATGGTTGTACTGGACAGTAAAGTATTTTCATTGGAAAGACAACTTCACCACTTTATTTTTAATAAAAGGAATGATAAGCTGCTGAATATCTTTTGAGGGAAAGCGGATAGCAGTGTTTTTGAAACAAATTCAAAGTATTTTTTATTTTCAACTAAATGAAGCATTGATTGTAGATGGCCGTTAGTCCAACAACTTGATCAGCTACGTCAATAGATGTAGCCATTAAGTAATAAAACTGACTGTTCTATTGCTTTGGCATGCCAAGGCACATCAAATGTGATTTTGTTGCTGTTGGTTTACATTTGAGCTCTATAACAATTATGTGTGACCATTTTATATCATAACTGCCCATCATCATTACCTCAACATGTTGCACATCCCTCTATAGCTGTATTTAACATTAAGTTGATGGCACCAGACCTCCTGTGAGCAGATGGCTGATGTAAGGCATAAGAAATGTAACGTAAGTGACATGCAGGCACAAGAAGAGCAAACAGAGTGAAGGGATGTACTGTACATGCACGACATTCAGCGTGTGTTTGTTTAACAGAGAGGCTGCAGCCTTTACCTCTGCTGACTGAAGTGTAAATGTACGGCTGTTAGAAGTCAGACCGAACTGCAACTATTTCTCAAACTTTCGTCAGTCAGGAAATCAGACCATTAGTCCACGGCAGCAGTTGCTATTACACGTTTCAACAGCCAAGGAGAATAACTTCCATAATGAGCACGTACCACTCTGACCAGTGAAATAAACACATTTAAACATAGAGGCAGAATCTGAAACCAGCTCTGGTAAACATCCCTTTAAGAAGGAATATCAGGTCACATAATGCTGTCGTTTTAAGGTAAAAATGTGCATGTTATTTTACAGCCGTTTAAGAACTCTCAAATAAGTACAACTCCTAGAGAGGATGATGTAAAAATGTTGGTGAGTACAGTTGGATGCCTAAGATGATAACACATTTTTATCACTGTCACAAATGAAATGAAACATGCCACACCAGGAGCTTCAGTTACACTGAGACACGGAAATAACATTGATGCTGCTGTCATTTTAAGAAGAACATGTTCCAGAGAAGAAACAGGAAGTGCATGCCTTGGAAATAAAGAGGTGAATTCACGTTGTCTTTTGGTTGGTGGTTTTTCACCTTTTCTGTGCAGAGGTTCTCTGCCCTTTGACATCTTCTACTTAAAGAGTACCCGTTCTTTGTTACATCTGTCAAACCATGTGTTGAAATGTCTGTTAGAAGCAAGCGGCATCCACTCTATATTTATCACCACCTGCCTCTGCGTTATAATGTGTTTTGGTGACACTGTATTGTGTCGCTAACACGATAATTAAATAATGGAAGCTTCATAGCTGCACCACAGGGTGTCCCTAAATTACCAAAGAGCTCATTAATGTTTAGAGCTTTTTCGGTTCAAATTAGCATATTAATTACTGAAATTCATTTAATGAAAGAGTGTACATTTTCGATGTTGTGGGTAAGAGTTCATATTACTCTTTTTCTGATCTAATTAAACAAAAAGACTTCAAGGCATATCAGCTTTCTGACTGATGACAATGCATCTACTGCATGCTAGCAGATGGCAAATCGTTTGATGTAGGATTAGAAGCTTTTAAATGTAACTTTAAGAGCAGAATTACTTTAATAAGACTTATAATATAATCTCAAGGCACACCGTAGTTTCATTTTGCAGAGGTGCAATGATTCACCACAGCTCTGCAGACATCCAGTCAAACACGTTCATTACAGGAAGAGTCAATAGTGAGAACAGAAGGCCAAACAAAGAACATATAATCAATAATCAGAAGCACTCGATTTGACTCATCAGGCACTTTAAAGCTCACAGTGTCAGAAGCACCACTTGCTGGATGAGAAAGCCCAAGTGTTCTGAGGTGTGTGTGTGTGTGTGTGTGTGTGTGTGTGTGTGTGTGTGTGTGTGTGTGTGTGTGTGTGTGTGTGTGTGTGTGTGTGTGTGTGTGTGTGTGTGTGTAAGTTTAATCCAGTTCTGCAGGAGGAGCAGCTCAGTCCAAACACTGAGAGCGGCTCTAACTCAAAACCACGGCACTTGTGGGTAAAGTGAGGTCTGTCTAGCGGAGGGTCGACAGTGAAAGTGATCAAACCCCTCAGTTGACTGCAGGGTCTCGCACCTGCACGGTTCCATCCTCCATCCCAAAGTACGCTCGTTCCGCCATGCCGACGAAAAGCCCCGTCTCCACCACACCTGCAGAGGACACACACACACAGAGTCAAAACACAAACAACACTTTCCCCAGTCTTCCTTATGGATGCTTAGGACTTCATTCATATTAATGTCTTTGTTACAAGTCTCTTGCCAAGGAGTAGTTGATCACTTCCTGATGCGCAGTCATACTAGTGAGGTCCTAATTTGGTAAAAAGGAAATCATTCTTGCAGGAAAACTGTTCGCAACATGGACTGTATTTAAGAGTAAGTATTTTAAGAGTGTCTATTTAGAGTAACCACATTTTTGTTGCCGTTTTGAAAAATATCCAACACAGTCCAACTTTCAAAGTGTGGGAAGGTGAGCCTCCCCTCAGAGAACATAAGAACAGCCACGTAGTAGCAATCTAGACAGAAATAAACGCAGATCATCCTCTGGCTGCAGCCTTGACCGGCACTTGCTTTTGATCAAAGTCAATTAGACCCTCCAGAAAAACGCGATTCTGCAATCGCAGAATTTACCGCATAATCAGACAAAGATTCATTCTGAAAACTGCACTGGAACAACTCAACGTCAAGGACATGGATTTCTAGTCAGCCTTGACCGGCACTTGCTTTTGATCAAAGTCAATTAGACCCTCCAGAAAAACGCGATTCTGCGGTCGCAGAATTTACCGCATAATCAGCAAAATGGCGCAGATTTTTAAAAGGCCGCATATTTATCAAAAGGCCGCATAATCCCCGCATTTTTCCACACAAAGTTGAGAAGAAAAAAAAGTTAACTCGTCTTGACGTCATCAGCTCGCGCATCACAGAATGTAAACAACACTGGATAGAGTGAACGTGTGGAGCTCACACGATAGAGAAAACACCAAGAGGAAAATATCTAATCCATCTCATTTACCGACGAACATTTCTACTAAAGACCGGGCAAAAAGTGGGGGGAAACTATTCTGCACCCCGTGCAACCGTGTGTTGGAGCATAAGAGAAAATTGACGGTGACGACCCACTTTGATTCATTCAAACATTCGAAAATGCTTTCTGCTGCTGCGGACAAGAAAGCCAAACAACGCACGTTAACCGAGGCATCAACCTCCAAAACCCTTTCGAGGGCTACAAGAAACGAAGTGAGTAGCCTACAAGATTGAAGCTGGTCAGATAACGAACGAGTAAATGAAAACAGAATGAGGCGGAGAAGTGGGGGTGTGTGTGTGTGTGTGTGTGAGATTAAAATAGCCCAATTGCTTTTAAAGTAAATAAACATTGAATGTGTTTAATTGAATAGTAAAGGGGTTTAACGTTAGTGGCAGGTTGTGTGTGAGAGAGAATAAATAAGACAGCCCAATATTTAAAAAAATTGTTATTCTTTTTTCCCGCATATTTAGCATATTTCGCAACTTTCCGCATATTTCGCAACTTCCCGCCATTTCACCGCATAAAATCACATAAAAACCCTGCATCTTTAATCGCATAATGAAGGATTTTAGCCCGCTTTTTCTGGAGGGTCTAATAATAGATTACTTGGTTGTGTGTGCCGGCGTGCGTGCGTTCAGAGGCATTCGAGTCTAGTGGGTAACCTTAGACCCCTGCTGAGCAACAACTCTCCTCTGGACCGGCGAGGAATCGATGTGAGCGTCTTGACACTAGGACCAATCAATGACTCGAGGACACTGATGCATCGAGATACTTTGAACCTCCAAACACACAATTGCACTCATTCACTCCGTCCGTATCATCACCCCCCC